TGGTCTACCTGACTCCATTAATCCAGACAACCACGTGACCCTTAGGGCACCACACGCCACCATATTCGATACAAGGCTTGCAACCCATAAAACACGTCTCCTGGGGCATGTTGGGAGCACGGCAATACTTGTGTAGACGCCCTAGAAGCAGCAAAAAATGTGAATGTAGAGTTCATCTAAAAACAGATAAGTTACAAGGGTAAAATGGCTACCAAAACTGGCTGGAGTAATTTGAAGCCCGAAAACCCAACCTGGAGAACCTGCAGACAAAAATCAGCTGCCACGAACAACCCCCTAATCAACCTGCAACAACCGAAAGGCACTGCTGACTAAAATGGTAGATTTCTAAAGTAGCCCGCTAACCCATGGACAACTAAAACGACGACGGGACGTGAAAATTCTTACAGAAATTGCATATAATTCGGACTAATATGAGTATCTGGGTAACTGCGCACCTACCCCTCCCCTATACTCAACAACAGTCAACTGTGAGGGGTAGGTACTTCTGCCGTTATGATGATGCTACTTATACCCTGGTGATCGCGTCGAATAGCTTCTTTTAAACGTTAAATTTCACTCAATTTTGTTACAGTGATCCTACCTTTGACAGTGTTATTTACACGAATAGGATTCCCTGGAAAAAAAATTGATGTTTGGTATTAATTTGCAAATTATGCTTTAATATCAGAGTGTGAGTATAAAGTAAGTTACCGAATTCCTAATTGGGAAGGAAGAATGAACTGATTAGGTGAAATGCAAGTGAAGTGCAAGTGAAATGCGAGTGGCATCGTGTCTTGAACACATTTCATTGAAGGTCTTATCTGAATAAATAACAACAAGAAAACCTTTTGGAGACCCTTTAAATCTATAGGTTTTGTTTGAAATTTTCTATCATATCTTCTTGTGGTCAGAGGCTCCCTGAAGAAATGACGCCACTTCAAGAAGGAAAGAAAAGCCTGAAATGTCTCAATTAATTTGCAACTGGTTGTAAAAGTCTCGAGCAACCAACTAGAATTACACTCCCATACCAATAAAAACCTTTACCAGGCCCTCTCTTACCACATTGTCCAACGTCAGGATGCGACATGTTACTCGGTGCAAATCCAATCCTCTGATTGGCTCGATCAAACACTACTACGTTCCCCTCCATGACAACTTCACCCAACACAGCCCCTGAGGGTTTGGCACCAATACTGAGGCAATGAAACTCGCTGAGGAGAGATGTAAACAGGAAAAAAAAAAGGAATTACATCCTGGTATTCAACAGCCAATCACAACAAGTAAAAAACCGCAGAGAGCCAATGAGAGCTCGGAGTCAACACGCAGTAGGAGTAAAACGCGAGAAACGCGAGTGACTTGCAGTTGGTTTTAATTTTGTATCTGATTGGTTGCGAAAGTGGCGCAAGTTTGCCAGACCAATCATAGAGTAGCACAGTGCAAAATGAAATGAACGCAATTTCGGACAACATCTGGTGCTCAGTTGTAAGTCCAATATATTCAAGAATCAGTAGACATACATGCAATAAGCTACACACACGACTCTATAGCCGTCAATGGCGTCGGACTCACAAACTCTCCCTCTCAAAGATGAATGTCTGAAGCGCATGCGGGAATGGGAAAAACACTGCAATTTTACGAGAAGATTAGCAAAACATTTTTGTACTCGTTGTAGTCCCCAACACCTTTTCCCAATTTATGCATTTTGAAACTGAAACAGAGATTCAAAAAAACTTATAACTGCTATAAGAATTCTAAGTATTCATAATTTGTTAATGACATTACACAATGACTTACTCCTGTTTTCTGACATAATGCTTTCCAAGAACGGTCAGTCCGAATGAGCCTCCAACTGCAAAAAATGATAACAAGGTTAACTTCGAAAATAGTAAGACGACTAAGAAAAACCACATCGATAATTAATTAAACGCTTAAAGTTACCATCGAAACCAGGCAGGAATTTTTTTGCAACACGCTCTAAGAGCAGAGAAAATGCCGGATTAAGTCAGGTTAAGTACTATGTTTAAGAAAAAGCAGGAACGCCAGAAAATTTCATTATCTTAAGAAGGTGCTCTGCAAGCAATTTGTAATCTCTAGTTCGACTAAACGGCTTATAATCATATAAATTATGAAATAGAGCGAGGGAAAAGCTGACATGAAGCTGCCTTATTTTAAGAAAAGGCAAATCTAGTACAGGGAAGAAGTATTCTTTACTTACTCATATCTTTTAGGTAAATAGTAATGTAAGGCCACTGGTAGGGATCTGTGTCAACACAGTAACTCTTCCAGAAGCGTTCATCAACAGGAGGACCACGCTGGCAAGACAAAGGAAAAAAGAAGGGCAGAAACACATTATCAATTAAGAAATACAATTTAGATAAGGAACACGTTATTTTCGGAGCTTACTTTGCATCGAGAGATGCGATTCAACGATCACGTGCACTAACCCCTTTCCTCCTCTCAGTCGTGGGAAAACCGCAACATGGTAGGGTATTTGCCCAACAATTTAATAGCTTTCCATGATTTTTTTTTTTTGGGGGGGGGAAGGGAGAGATACTCATTTAGACTCCTGGTTGGAGAGACGCACTCTTTAAATAAAGTGTCTTTCCAGGAACAAAACGCGTAATTAACTCGGCTAAGGTTCCAACTGGACCTTTACACCCAGAATCCTAATCAGTCTTTGTTAAGTGCTGCCATTTTGAAGAAACTTCTAAAATGAAAAGGTTGCAGATTGAGTGGACTGGACACCAGATCTCTTTATGCCAGACTGACCCCTTTTTACAAGTTGTGATCGTCCAGAGGATCATTTAGCTAGATAACTGTCTCAAAAAAATAAAACAAACAATTTCCTACCTCCTTCAGTTGTGCTATAACTGCTGCGTAAATCTCAGGTTGTAATAAAATATCCGTTGTGCCTTAAAAAGGAAAATGTTCTTGGTTAATTGAGCAGAATCAGTAGCATGCGCCCACATCAAGCAACGAGTGAGCGAGCCCGCGAACACCTCCGCAGTGCTCCCAAAAGTCGTAAATAAAGGGGAAATCTTTCACTGAAAACAAAATGTGCATGTGCACCATGGAAGTACTTACCACTGTCAACAATGGCGGCTGAGAAACTAGGGGGTAAAAAACCTAAACTATTGCCGGCAACATCCTGAAAGATGAATATAAAAGCCGTACAAATTAACTATCTGGATTTTGCGGCCAGGTGGGTAAGAGCAGCGAGACTTGCACTTTCTTTTTGTCCACACTTAAGAGTTTATAAAATAAGCTATGGTACTATGGGGCTTTGACGATAAAATTACGGTTTTGTCTAAAGGCGATCTTCCTCATTTCCAGTGGTGACCAAATCTCAAAAATCGTCTGTCCCCAACCGTCAAACGTGATAGCCCGCTAAAAGTGGTCTAACGACACGTTGCCATTGAAAACAGAGCCGGTTGCCCGTGACAACAACAAGATTTTAACATCAAAACGTGGTCGCCAAACTTCTGTCGCGTTTCACTCAACCGGAAATCGTAGTATTTCTGGTCATGCGTCTTCCTGTCATCATTGAGAAAACCTAACTAGTTCTCCAAAATATCATAGTTCAGGAATGACACGGGAACAGAAAGAAACAATGAAGAAGCGTTATACGTTACTTAGTAACATAGAAAGTAACCCGGGATTGCTTTTGTTTTATTCCTTTGCTATATGATGGATTCACTCGCTCAACCAATCAAAAGCAAAACTTAAACCATTTACCACTTGGTCGCTCGCGTTTTTCCCGCGCTTCAGGCAGTTTGCTTGTTTTTAATTTGAGTTCTCATTGGCTAATGATAATATAAACCTAGACTCTGACCGGTCGCTGGAATTAATTTGGTTTTGGTTTTTCAACTCTCAATATAATTAAGAAGCGCTCTAATGCAGGCTTACTTGTGCGTTCGTACGTTCGAGTTAGGTAGACTCGAGCTAGGAAAGCCATAGAGAGGGTAAGAGAAACTGTGGTAATGCGTTGATGGGAGAGTATAACAGGGTAAGTTAGTATTATCAACTGAGTTGATAACGTCAGTTGGCCACGTAAAGAGTTTACAGGCTGACGTTTCGAGCGTTAGCCCTTCATCAGAGGCTAACGCTGAAACGTCAGCCTTTAAACTCTTTGCGATCGTTAATTTACGTTGTCAACTCTGTTGATAACACTTAATTACCTAGGAAAACCATGTCCAGTACAAGGATAACAAGTAAAAAATGATACACATGGTCTTTTTAAACAATCGGTTTCTTCTGACTTCACATTCGTCAGGTTGTTATACATAATGATAGACTCACTTACAATGCCTGTCATGGAAACGCTGTACCAGGTCTCTTGATTAATGCTCGTGTAGTGAATAGGCCCGCGATACGCCGACGGTTCTGGAGCGTCCAGCCAGAGTTTACCCTTTGGAAATATGAAATGTTCATTTTTTAGAGATACCTCTTGACATGAACACTCACACATGCGAAACGAAACTGTTCACGCTACACCAGCTCATATTTACGGTCAATCAACGTCAAAAAAGCATATATTTGAAAAACAGACATAAAATCAAATCAACTCAGATCAAGAAAGAGGGAGGAACAAATAATCCCATTTTCCTCAAAACCTCTGAAATACATCGGGAGAAAACTAAGGACGAGGTTGTTTTGTAACTCATCGGAACCCATCGGTAATATTTGGACGCCTTCGGAAACGATTACGACTAATATAACCAAGCTATGTAGATTAACCTACTCAAAAAATTAAAGATAAAATATAGAGATCAAATTCGCTCACCATTCCATTACACAGCCCTAGAGTGAATACATTTGGAACTTTGTTATCCTGGACGAGCTGATCGTACAATGGCTACGAGAAAAATGTGAAAGAAAACTTTTGCCTTAGTTGGGAATAGTCATTATTATTTATCGCCTGAAACGGGAAAGGGGGGGGGGGGACCTCATGGTTTCCAGCGGAAACGGAGGGGGGATCGGTGTTCACCAACAGAGTATGAAGAGGGCATATAAAAATTGATTGCCTATTCCTGCTTTAGAGCTTTTGCTTGCAAGCAAAAGCTCTGAAGCAGAATTTTTTTGAAAAACAAATATTTGCAATGGTGAAAACTAATAAGTACCTGTACATCATCAGTCGCCAGGGTTTTATACGCCAGGCCAAGAATCCCCTCATTTATGGAATTTCCTGAATTGATGAGGTGAAAAACGAAGTAAGTCGAATTGGTGGTAAGTTTTGAAATCTCTACAATATCGTCTGTTTCAGTGTCAGCGGAATACCAAGAGAATTTATCGAGATGGAAATGCCTGTTGACCTGCAGTTTTTCGTCGTGATTTAAGAACATTTCAGAGGGTCTCAATGGGTCGGGTTGACTGTTAAGTGTAAAAGTTGACAAATTTAACCGTTTACAGTCATAAAAAAGTTTACACTTAGAGGTGATACTGTAAGGAAAGATTAGATGCTAGTCACTTCGAGGGCTAAAAAGGTACGTTAACGACCGTCGCATAAATTATTGCAAAGTGCAAGCAAACACATTTGCTCGCATAGACTTTTTAAAGTTCTTGCCAGCAAATATATTGTTTTACAAAACAAATTTTAAAAACTGTTACTTCAATTCCATCTTACTGAGGAAGAAGTCTTTTTCGTGCCTTATGACCGCAAATTCTGCTGTCGTTCTCGGACCTAAAGAATTCAAAAATGGGAAAAGAATCTCTTTAAACACTGAACACCTATTTTGTGTCATGCTAATCTTACAAGCTCGTCACCAGTCTATTTCCTTTTTCAACCCTCTCTCCCTCCCCTCCCTCTCTCCCTGAATGACGCATACCCGACCTGCTGAAATGATTAACACAACAATAAAGAACAGCATGGAAATAACGGTGGCTAAGAAAAAGAATTGGTTTGAACAACTCCGCACCTACCCCTCCCTTCACCCAACATTTATCCTGAGTTGTTTTCAGTCGACTGTTGTCGGGTCAGCCAGGGGAGGGGTGGGTGCACAGGTGCTTAGATGCTGACATTGTTCCCGTTTTTCTTTAACACAAACATCACTGATGCGGAAAAGCCTCGTTGCTGAACTTTTTTGTGACACAAGTTAAGCCGACAATCAAGAAGTAGAGAGGTGAAAGATTCTGTAGCAGCTGGATTCACAATACACACCTCATATATAAAAAAAATCCTTTTACCCTGTGGTTTTTAACTTGATAGGCATCAGATTCATCTTACCTTCACCTGGGAAGGCCACGACATCGAGATAAATATCCCCTGACCACGCCCCTTTACCGTACTCTGTTTCGATCTGCAGAATAAGAAAAAATATCGTAATTCAGAAAGAAACCAGCCAAAGGTTTGTCATCTGTGTGATCTTTCATACATGATCGACTGTTAAGCACTCAACAAAATCCCTTGGAATAAGAAACCAGTTATCCTTTTGGTTGTGCCCACCCTGAGACTCTGTAATATTTCAATGATCCTCCCCCCCCCCTTATAATTGTCTATAGTCCCCTCTTTACACTCTGTTGACGACGACTGATTCCCCCTCTGTTCCCCCTGAAAGTCATGTGATCCCGTGAAAATCCTCGACTTTCCCCCTCCCTAACTCACCCCAGGCGATAAAAATTGACTGTTCCTTAATTTTACTCTGAACGGTATTTCAAAATTTCAGCTCTAAGATGAAATATGAAAAGCACTCACTGGAATATGTTGATCTACCGATGTATTGGACTTCTCTGGATGATAAAAGGTCTCTATTTGACACTTATGGTCCATTTCATCTTGACATTCTGGGCCTTCAGAAGTGAGACACAAAGAAGACACAGTTTGAATTATTTTTTATTTTATCTTTTTACCTTTATCATATTATAACTAATGTCTGAAACGCAGGCACTCAAATTTCCGGGCAAAGGTGTGAAGTGCAGGGCGTGACATCTTTGTTTCGTGCTCCTACACCTTTGGGTGACCACTTGTTTGAAAAATCTCAGCTATAAGGCCACACGGATCAATGTATGTATTTGAAAAAATGCCCACCTATCCCTCCCCTAATACAGCAACAGTCAATCGATAACAAGTAAGGGTTAGTGTTGGGTTAGGGGAGGGGTGGGTACGAGTTGCTCAGAATTTGACATTGCCCTAGCCACAATCTCTTTGACTAAGGTTTCCTCTTCGTAAGGCTGAAAATACGCAGCTAGTAGATTAAACAGACCAATAGAATTGATGTAAGCACTTTAAAAGACGGAAAATATTTTCAGCGGTCTTCACGAGGCGGCCGTATTTTAGATTAATGTTGAACAGTATCTCACTTCGTTCACTCGCTAAAGAAATGATCAACTCTCGAAGATCCTTTTCATCATGTTTCAGATAAACTCTTACCTGCAATAGCCATGTTGGAGGAACCAGTATCAATCAAAAACTCCAGCTTTAAAGTAATGGAATGGGAAAATTAGCTAGGCCTTTGTTTAAATAAGTCAGATTCGTGGATTGAACTCGATTTAGGCGTGAGAATGTTCCCTCCAATTTTATAAAGCGAAAAAGATCACGTTTAAGTACATTGTTAAACAGAAAGGCAACGAGAAGAAAGAAAAGTTAAAACTGGGAAACACTGCTCGTTTGGAAAACAGACTTGCAAAGCTAAAGTTATGTGAAATGTGCGGTGATCATAGCTTGAAACCCCGCCCCCCCCTCCGCTTGATCTGCCCTTATGGGTCCGGTACGCTTCTCGACTGACCAAAGTCTTTCCACCCTTAAGTTATTCAGCAGCTAGCTTTCCCTTCTCTTGTGACCAGTTACTCTGTTAAACAACATATCTCATTATCTATCGATAACGATTTAAGCAAGTTCACATTTTATTTGCATTCTCACGATGAACAAATACAATTACCCGTTGAGGGGGTGTGCCTAGATCCAACTCGATAACATAAGCATAGGAGGTGCTCTAAGGGAAAACAAACAAACAAAAAAAAAGAAATGTAAAAACGCTGTTAGAAATACCTTTGCAAGAAGCCAGTCAAATATAAAGCTTTCAAACGAAAATAAAGCTGATAGAGAGTAGAAAATTAGTGTTAGGCGCGTTTGGGCGTTGCATTACATGTTCACGCAAATCACTAAAAAAATAACAAACAATTATAATACAACATACGCGAAGTGTAAATTCCATTTCCTCTTGATCGCTGTCTGCTGTTGGTGCAGGCGTTGCAGTTACTGCAGTCGTATTTCTATGTCTGTGATGTTTGGTTTTTCTACGTAAATCAAATGACAGCATCGTGGACTTTTTATGTTCAAATTTCGGCGGAGCCGACGCGCTCGATGCTAAGGGCAAAAAGAGAAGTACCAAAACCATCCATCGAACGAACATAACCGCAAATCCACGTACTTAGACATCGAAGAGGATCAAAAAGCCATCAAACTCCGCAACGAAAGGTAAAAGGAAGTTCAATAATCCTCCCCTGCTTTGCGAAAAAGTTATTTTGGGCACTCTCGCCAGCAAAGAGTGAACAACCGGGTGAATTCAGGCGTGTCGTCATTGAAAAGAACACCTGTAAGTTTTGACAGCTCTGTGATAAAACAAATTCTACGTCTGAATTACTTCTTGTTGATCGTATTGACGAGGCAAAAACCTTCAGTGAACAGAGAAGAGGTGATTTACTAATCAAATTAAAACACAATTAGTGGAGCAGAAGTATCGCAATCTTGAAAGTGCTTGTCTCCCGTCGCTGAAGCCTGAGTTCGATTTCGCAATACTAATGACATACACGGGTTAACTTTTTTTCTTGTTTCTTCGTTCTTGCTCCGAGAGTTTTCCTCAGAATTTTTTGGTTTTCCTCCCTCTGCGAAAACCGGTCCTCCAAATGATAGATAATACGCTGAGTCACCTCGTACAAATGCTACAACTTAACTCCAACTTATTATCAGTTCAGAAGCGATATTCAGTTAAGTGTCCAAAGTAATTTGGGATTGCATCGTTTTTCCTTTACTTTGCTCTGTGATTGGTCTAGAAAACTTGCGCTACTCTTTCAGCCAATCAGATGCAACATTAAATCCAATCACGGCTTAGTTGTTCGCGTTTTCTCGCGCTTTCGGAGGTTTAGTCGGTTTTATTTTGAGTTCTCATTGGCTCTTAAATGCATTTTCCTACCTTCTGATTGGTTGTTGGGATTAATTTGGTTTTGGGTTTATGACACTCAATCGAAAAGGCCCTAAATGAGCAAAGTGTCATCACAATTGAAATTTAAAACTGAACATTTAGGAAGGCTCAGGGCTTCCTATCGACTTAAACCGTGCGATACTCAATTAACAAAATAAATATATGAAGCCATAAATTGCAACCAAGATCCATATTGTAAGATCTTGTTTCAACTTGAAAGTGATACAAAAACTTAGAATAATAGAATAGTACACTCTTGAAAGTCTGAAAGCGAAAGTACGGAGAGACTTAAAAAAAATCCAAATCTTTCACGGTGATTTACTTTTGTGGGATTTTCAGAGAGTATGGGCAGATATGGTGAGGACGATAGAAAACATCAGGACAATAGGACCTACGAAAAAAAAAATTAAATTTATTTACGTATTTTTAAGTTACAGTGCGATCAGCGAGCACCATATTTTTGAAAAATCTAACAATACGCTTTTTTGGGGTCACAATGCACACAGAGAGCATTCGAGAAAATCTTTTAAACATAAACCATCGAGACCACAACATGCGTTTGGTTTGAAATGAAAGAAAAACTCGTCTGAGTTTTTTTAATTTATTTTTTATCTTAAGCAAATCACTCCCTCTTTACCTCTATCCGACCCCTCCCCTCCCCCCTTCTCTAATGTTGCAAAGTAGAACTAAAGGTAAAGTAAAGGACCAGTTATTATTAATCGACTGGAAGGTGGAAGGAGAATGAAAGGTTTTTTTTGAGGGGGGGGGGGATCAAATGGTTTTCAGGGAGAACGGAGAGTGGAATCAGTCGTCGCCAACAGAGTATAAAGAGGAGACTATAGAACCTACCAGCCAATTAACTACCATTGAGAGGAGAATTAGGTAAATTTAATTTTATCGTGACATTACCAAAATCCTTTAAACCCTCCCCCCCCCTTCCCAGGCGATTCATAATGACCTGTTCCCAGGGGTGTAAAATCTTGCAACTTTGAATTACAGTCCTTGTACGACAGTCTTCCCTCTCGTTTCTTAAATTTTAAACACAATATCTGGAATTTGTCCATCAGCTGTTGTAGTCCCATTGAAGCTGGCTTCGTCTACGTCAAATCTAAATCTTATCCCCTCAGTTACAACATCTCTCATCCCGTCCGTACCCCCCAACGTGGTCGGTCCTTTGAGCAAGACTCTAATGATGTACGGCCGATGACCTCTTACGATGACGGGCTCATCAAAGAGAATATCATGGACGCGTTTGCTAACATCAGCGAAGAACGTTCCCTCGTACGTACACATAACATCATTGTGCGAATCCAGAAGCTCTACATCAACGCTAAAAGGACTTGAGCAGTCTTCTTTGTTACTTACTCCGTAGAGTCCAACACCAAGCACAGTGATGTCTCGATCGACAGTGAATTTTATACTATCGACGTTTGTTCCTTCGCAAAGCCAATCTTGACCATAAGTGGGGAACCGCGTACAACGATAAGCCCGGTGCGCTCCAGGACGAGGGTGAGTCAGAAAATTCTTTACTTTGGTATCATCTTTGGAACCAAAGTATAGAAACGTATTGATCGTTTCTTCAGAGGTAAGAATTCCGGATTGTGCTGCGTCCTCTGAAAACTCTTTCAGAGTCATCACGGGGAAGCGAATGAAATTCAGAGCGCTGGACAGTACACTCCGTTTGTTTTCTGGCGTCGGTGGAAGAATTTTACGATTGCATTCCCCTTCGGCCCAGCGTTTTACTGCTTTAAACAGATCCGCTTCGAGCACCGTCAACGTATCACGTGTTAGCACCGCTAGCAATGTTTCATGATCGATTTCTGTAAACGCCTCGGACGACAAAACTCGAGCTGTTTCCCTATCGATAATTTCCCAGCATTTTTCTTCCAGTTTAGGCTCGCAGAAATAGCGCGCTTGCGCGAGTAACGTGAAGGCATTTTGATGGTCGATGTTCTCTTCCAGAAAAACCACGCACCTCTCGGCTAAAAATGGGAGGAAGTATTTCTTGGCCAAGTATAGAATGCCGAAGACATTCGAAGGATCGATTTTTGCTTCATCGTAATAAATGTATCGCAGCAGCTCTAAAAAGCTGCCTGCTTCGCAGTCGCCGATTTTTATCTCTTCCCCTCGTTCGGCCATTCTTCCGTAAAACATGGCGTAGAACACTGGGCTGCTGATCGCCATTACGTACTTGTGCGCTGGAATTCTCAACTTATCGCATTTTCCGACGAGAAAATGCACATCGCTCATAAGTTCGTTGTTGAACATGTAACGATTTCGCTCCACAATGTTTCTTTTTTCTGTCTGCCAGTTTTCATCCTCTTGGTAATTCCTGTGCGTACATCCCGCCATCTTTCCGCCAGTGGTTGTTTTTTCTCCCTTGGGCAAATTTGTTTTTGTCGAATTTCTTTCCACCTGTTATTATTTGGAAGGCCACCAGTATTTCTCTTCAATATACCACTCAAGTGTCATACTTTAAGCCTATCGGAGTTAAGAAGACGTGCGAACCAATCCGATCGAATTTAACCTTTGAATAAAGACAACTGTTTTATTTTTTTGCAGGTTCTCTACTGAATCCGGTCCAATGATCGAGAGAGGTATCAGATTCAAGATAAAGGAACGGAACCTGCAAAAAGGAAGTCAGTAACACATCTAAACTGCGTGGATGTACCTCATGTTAACTGCATTGCTTTGAAAATTATATTGAACGGCGAATCTTTTACACAGTAAGGGTTTTCACCCCAACAGTACACGTTACCCTTCGGGCGGGGGGG